ACAGGGAGGGGGAATGGGTTTCACTCAGGGAGGTGAGATGGAATGTAGCAGTCGCTCACCTGACGGGAGGACTGACAGAGCGGAAGCGTGGAGTTATTAGTCCTCGTCGATGTAGGAAGAAGTCCAACCAAGCGGCAGGCACTAGCGTACATAAGATGTGTACGTAACGGTTAGAGACGGCGGCAGCGGAGTCTTGAACTCCGAACACCTAGTAATGTGATACGTCAGTGTCTGGCCAGAACACCCCGCCCGGGTAGCTTATATCTCGGCCTACCTGCCGGATAATCTCTACTACGGACCTTGCCGTACTAGGATAATGTTGGTGGGGCTCGGGGCCCCATCCCGTTAGATTCGCTTACTAACAGCTGCCCAGTTCGCGACATGTGACGAAACTCGGAACATGTACGAAACTTGAGTCAGAACGTTTAACAAATTAACAGTTATTGTTAAAAGTAATCGTTAAAATATTCTAAGGGAAATGTAGCTTGCTACAGTCTCCCCCCTCTGAAGCGAACCGTCCCGGGAGCGTCACTTCTTCTTAGAAGATTTCCGTCCCTTGGGTTTTTCCGGGGCTTGAGGGTGTTTCTTAGACGCCAGTTTGCGTTCATATTCGTCGATGGATTCAGCCAAGGGGGTAGACTGGCGAAGGGATTCCTCTGGTTCATAGGTATTATGACTAGAGTCGTAACCTTCCCATTTAATCAAATACTCTCGACGTGTTTTTCCACGTCCCCCTCGGACTGAAACATCACGATGGTCGACAATAGCTTCGACCATAAAATACGGCTCACCCTCAATGACGAGTGGCGCCGGCGGCTGTCGCTTTACGTCTTCTTTGTACAATTTTAACAAAGAGACGTGGAAGACCGGGTGTAGGCGGGAGGCCGCCGGTAAGTCCAGTTTTACCGCAGCTTCACCCACGCGAGCGACAACCGTGTATGGGCCGATGAACTTAGGCATCAGCTTCTTGGTTCCAGGGGTTTTTAATGTAATATTTTTAGTAGATAACAGCACTTTCTGCCCAACCTCGTAACGCACCGGACGCCTATGCATGTCGGCGTCGTCCTTTTGGACTTGTTGCGCAGCCAAGAGACACTTTTTAGCTTTGCTTATACGCTCACGAAGCATCGCTTCTTGCTTCTGAGCGGCAGGCACCTTGGTTTTGAGGTGAAGGTCAACCGGCACACGTGGTTGTCGAACACCGTTCAG